TTTTTTTGTACCAAGGAGCACCAAGGAACCGGGAAATTGCACCAAGGCAAATGATAAAGGGCACCAAGGCAAATTATAAAGGACACCAATGTATAATGAGGACACAAAAAAAGCAAAATAGTACCCACCTTGTCTGTACGATTCAAGCTTGAAAGAAACAAAGCCACCAAAAAAAAAACAAAAAAAAAACACGTTGCCGCATCAATTCCGGAACTTCGGTCTGACCAGAGACCGACTATTTTTTCTTTTCCTTAAAATATTGAGTGGCTTCAAGTTGTGAAATGGGAGGAATATTATCACTCGCTACAATCTGGACTTTTCCATTTCGCTCGGCTTTTCCTCAAGAGCCATTCAATATTTGTATGCTATTCTGCTGTTAGACAGCGCAACACCTATATAATTGGACCTTGGCCAAGGCATTTCTCTCAAGAAGGAGAAATATTAAAACCACACTTCTCTTTGTTCAAATTTTAATTTCCGGAAAATAACAGGACTCACTGAAATCGGGAACAATTAGCAAAACGGTCGTCTCTAAGCAACTTGCAGTAAATAGAAGATTCATTAAAGGCCAAACGATTGCTTATGATTTAATGAGTTTTCAGAAACACGTCAGACCTTAGAGATACCTATAGAGAGAAATATTAAAACATCACTTCTCTTTGTTCAAATGTTAATTTCCGGGGGAAAAACAGGACTCGCTGAAATCGGGAACAATTGGCAAAACGTTCGTCTCTAAGCAACTCGCAGTACATAGTCGATTCATTATTAAGGCCAAACGATGACTTGAAATTTAGTGAGATTTAGTGAGACACGTCAGACCTGAAACATACCTGAAGGGAGAGACAGGAAGAGCGCTGTTTGAGAGAAAAAGACCATTAAACGCCAACGAATGAAGATGTCAGTTTTCAGCCTTGCAAGCGTTCTGATCCTGATGACTGTCGGGGTATCTCAAACGCTGCTAGCCGTCTGTCCTCCCGGCTGGTTGGCCTGGCAAGACGCCTGTTACATCTTGCTGCCTGATAAGATGGATTGGTGGCAAGCTAAGAAGGTTTGTGACCGGCCCGGGAGCAGCCTGGTCGTTCCTGACTCGCAGGAAGAACATGACTTCATTTGGCGGGAAATGAAAGTCGAGATGCAGAAATTTGGGGCCAACACCCCAAGTGACCTGGAACTGTGGATTAGATGCCGAGATGTCGACAACAGCGGGATGCTTTCGTGCTATGGTGTCGATGGGGATCCCAACTACAAAAACTGGGGGCATGGTAAGCCGAATAAATTTGAAGAAATTTGTGTCCGAATGGCTCAGAAATTTGAGGGTCGGTGGGGAGACATTGATTGCAGTGGTTTGAAATACGTCGCTTGTGAGATGCGCACATCTCATCGCTCATATTGCCTGCAAGCTGATGCTGACGGGCGCTTCATATCCCAGTGTCTGCTCAACCATGAGATCAAGAACCTGACGGCCGCGGGAGTCATTGGGTGGTGTCAGGCGTGCTGGGCGGAGCCTCGATGCCACTCCTTCAATCTCTGGCAGAAGGGTGATGACAAGAAAGTCTGTCAGCTCAACAGCGCGACTAGCATCCAGGCTGACGACACTGATCTGCAGTATGTGAAGAACTGCAACTTTTTCGATCTGTAAACCTTCGAAAGTGAAACTTAATTTTTAATACGAAGTGTTCCAAGTGATTTTAAAAACTCCTCCAATTTCCGGAAGAAGCTGATGACAAGAAAGTCTGTCAGCTCAACAGTGAGTCTCATCCCGCTGAGTGAGTCTCATCCCAGTTATCACCGACTGCACATATTTCTAACCTTGAACGGTGCACACACTATGTACTGTTGACACTCCTTCTACCTTTTCGTTTGGATATCACTGAACCTTTGCACACTAAGTGAAAACTTCAGCTTTTGCATGGTATTTATCGCAAACACCTGGAAACGAACTGAACTCGAAACATTAGTTTGCCGTTTACCTTCTTTTGTTTAACCGGATGCCTAGAATAAGTTTGAGTTTGCTCAACAAGAGACTTCAAATACCTATTTAATTCTCAGGGCATATACTGCTTACAAGACTGAAATTTAAAAAGTTGCACCAAATTGAGAATAAAATATGTACTTTTGAGCAATAAGCATGCGCAGTCATAAACTATAACTTTGGGAAGGGGAGCTAAACAAAATGAAATGACACTTTTGTTGAAGAGCAGTTGGAATAACTATCAATACAAATTGAATTTGAATTTTCAGGAATGGATTGGAGAGATAATATGTTTTTTTTGGGGGGGGGGCGGGGCTGGGGAGGCGGTAATTTGGTTGAGAAGAAACAGACATACATAAAATCGAGAAATTTAATGTGCTAAAAAAGAACTCTAAAGTACGGCTTTCTAATAGACTGAGCGTGTTTTCTTTTTGTTTCGGGGGGGGGGGGTGAAATTCCTTCCCGCAGTTTCCCAATACAACCGCGCCGATGATTAAAACTGAGGATTAATATTTTAGGACAATGTAGACTTGTTTTCTCATTATTTTAGACGGTCATTGATCAGTAAGCACCTAATAAAAACTATCGCACCAAAGTTCACAAAAGTTAAACCAGTTTATAATTATTTTCCGTGTATAGTGAATCCTGTACAACCTGGTTCCCATGGTGTCAAGCAGTACGCTCCCACCACTACCTGCTCCCTCACCCTGGTATTTTGTCATCTGCATGTTCAAAAATCTTACATATGTGGGCACATTAGAATACACCGAACACCGCTATACCGAACATCGGCTATACCAAACATCATCCTTGGCTCCCGATTTTGGGGTACAAAATGTACCAAACATTGTTGTAAAAAAAGCCAACAGATAAAAAAAAAATCTACCGATTATATTAAACGCTAATTGGGCCATTTTTAATTAATTAATTCCCGAACGTCAAACGGTCTATGCTTAGATCGGCCGTGTATGTTGAAGAGTAACAGGTGGCTATTATTTCCCCAAGGGATAGAAGGGAAAAGCCACTCGTTGATAAAGTTTCGTGACGTGGGATGTGAGAAATGCCACTTAGGACGCCGTCAAGCGGGTTTGTCCAAGGCAATATCTATATATACCACCTCACAAAAATTGAACACAGTACTCAATTCAGTTCAACAGTTTAGTTGAAAATTGGAACAAACATCAAGCCTGATACAGAGATTTGCATACAAGTGTGACGTCATGATGACTTCATCGTGTATCAAATTACAAGTGATTGAGTTCAAAAAGTGACTGATTTGTTTCAATATAACTCATGAACAAAATGAAGAATCGTGTTCACACTTGCGATCTGATAGACCATGCCTTGATGAATATTTCTTGTGTACGTGAAGTTGCTTCTTCTTTACTTCCGGGGTTAAAGGAAGGTCAAAGTTATAAATCAAAGTACCGAATGAAGCATACATACATACATACATGCATACATACATACATAGGGAATTCCACCAGGAAACTTCATTCCTAATTCGGCATAGGCTCGAGTCGTAAGTCCATGCATTGTCCAAAGATTAGTAGCAACGGTCGAAACATTCGTCAACATTAAAAACAAACCGAATTAAAAAAACAACAACCGAATCTCTTCCAAACCGTTCCGAATGTGGTACATTTTGTAGTTAATGGGGAGGAGGGACAATAATTAGTATGGAGGAAACAGGTGGATGAGGAAAAGGGTACACATTCAAAGGGGAGGGCAAGAAAGGAGGTGATCTAGCCGGTATTACCTGGCAATAATAAGGGGAAAAAATGAAACAAATTAATCGTTGCTTTGTTGGATGTCGAGACCATGTGGTTCAACAGTCCGAATTAAGACGCTTCATCCACACTCTCTCCCTGCTTTTAATCAGGGAGGAATAAATGTTTTAATAGGCAAACTGAGTCCATGTGACGACCAAGTGATTCTGTACCCTGTATAATCATATCACAAATGGAAAGGTTAGGGAGTTCGAAGTGGTGACCGACATGGGTTTCCAGTCTCTTGGCGTTGGCAGCCGATCGATGAGCTTTATGTGCTTCTTGAGCCGGGCGAAGCGTGTTCTTTGTCTCCCTGACATAACTGCACTCCATGATGCACAAACCCTGCAGGGTATTAACATTAGAGGTGTGTTACCAACAGTGCTGTGGGTGGTGGCAGAAGAGTGGCCAAAAAAGGTGTCAGACTCCTGGATGTGGATCTGGCAAACAATGGGTGCGTTCGTTAGCTCACCTAGGTCGACACGGCTCAGAGTTCTCTGGTGACCGATGAACGATGAAAAATCTGAAATGTAGACATTTTTTTCCAGACATTTGGCCTCCGAAAATCAATAGGTGTGGAGGGGGGGGGGGGGTGTCCGAGTTCAAATGGGGGCACTGTTCAAATCCAACGAGTATGATATAGCGTTCTTTGATACAGCGTTCATACTATGAACGCTGTATCAAAGAACGCTATATCACAGAAAAGTGTACAAATACCACCTACTCATCCGACCGTCCCGGCCGTGTGCATATTTTGTGCAAAAGGCGAACATTACCAATGTCAGAGCGGGGCGGGGGGGGGGGGTGCATTTTTTTCCATGGATTTTTTTTTTTTTTTTTTGTAGAGCTGGGTTTATTCCCCCCCCCCCCTGGATCCGCCTGAATATGACCGGAATGTCACATCGTTCTGCAGTGGAGAGGATCGATATGCTTCAGTGGCGTTGGACTGCATAGAACTTAATGATTTTTATGATAGGGTAATTCGGGAGGGGAAAAAAATCACCCAAAAGGCATTGGTATACCCAACCAAAATCGAACAGAAAGCAGAAATGGGTTAATCAAGATTTAGTTTGATGTATGTCTCGAATACCTTTGAGAATTCTCAGTATTTTTGCCCATTTTTTAAGTGGGCGTATTGATCACGGATCCGATTGAAGAGCCTTCTTGTGTAAACAGCGCCCCCATTCAGCAGAATAAAAACAAATAGTCTGGGCCACCCCGCTTCAGTGACGTAACGTTATACTAGGAGAAAAGGAACAAGACCTTGCAAACAACAAGTGCACGTGAGTGAAATTCCCACGAACTCACCGAACGTGTATGTTTCTGTTTCGAATTCATTCATGTTATTTCTGACGGTGGTGCAATTTCACTTCTCTGACGTATGTCTGTTTATGAATGAAGACACATTAAGTCCCAAATCTGTCCGTATCAGTTTCTAGTCCGTTTCGTTTACACGAAAGAAACAAAATTGTTGCACTCAAGTCTTACTACTTTGTCAGGTCAGAGCTTATCATACGCGTATCACACACTGTACACATTCTGTACCGTGTACGGTACATTTTTGCACGTATTACTAGTTGTACGTGTACGTAGGCTGAGCATGGGAGAACGGAGCTCGGAAACAGACGGTGCTTCAGGCATGTCAGGACAGTTTGATGATGCAGATATCGCTGATGAGGTTTCCAGCAAGCTAAAGATGTGAGTTTGTTGCCATAAACAAGTTGCCCTAGCCTAGAACCGTGATCGTGGTGTGTAAACAATGCCACACTCGAGATTGTATCATTTCGAACCTGGCGAAATCGTCCCTCCATGACATCATGGAGCTAAAACTTAACATTTTTTTACCGTGTGATATTATTCCCATAAGAAACTTTCTTGAAATCTGCTTTTACGGCAAATCTTGCATTTGAACTAGTCCAAGTAACTTGAACCCAACTTATCGCCTTTTTTAACATTTGACATGGTCTGGCGATACTATCGCCAGACCATATCCAAATGTTAAAAAAGGCGATAAGTTGGGTCCAAGTTACTCGGACTACATTTGAACGAAATTTTGAGGTAAAATCTGGCCCCAGACATGCCAGATCTCGATGTCCCGCAACCTCCTCCTAATTCATGTGATTGACTGGACTCATATTAGCTGTACTAAATGGAGCGTTGAACTACGGTCATGACGGTGCCCTCCGTACAAACGCTCCACCAATTTGGCATACTTTGGTGACAGGTACACGGTCATCATGGCGGTATGCATTTTGTGCATGCCCTCGCGAGGACAAAAGGCCCAAAAAACTGATAAAGAGAATAAAAATGAGAAAGACAGTAACCCTGGATAGATCCACACATTCATGACATTCCATAAGACCCCTTAAATTGTTCCAAACAACCAGTAGGGATTTTGAAAAAAAAAAAAAGTCTGAACATACCGCTCACAATTAAATGTGTCTGCCGAGTTGTACAGGCCATTTCACTGACATGACTGATGCATAATTCATCGCGCGCGTGTGTGACGTCACTATTGAAGAAAAACAAGTCGCGCTTAATCAATGACTGTTTCATGTACTGATATGTGTCCCGCGCCAAAAACCCACACTGTCAGACGGCGCGGGGCACATAATGACATATGACTACATGAAACAGTCGTTGAAACCGCACGTGGGCGCACTGCTCGTGCGAAGTAAAAAAAGTTGTAAATTTGAAGAAGAAACACTATGTAAGGAATGCAAAAAAACATGTAAGGCAAAATAAAAAAAAAACATGTTTAGCGTCCTGCCTCTTTGACAAAAAGGAAGGAGGAGGCCCTTTTTTTTTTTTTTTTTTCTTTTCAAAATGGCCGCCCGACACATTTTTCAAGACAACGCGGCCGGGCTATTTTTCAAGATGGTTACCAGCTTTTTTCAAATGGCCGCCACTTGGACTCATTGACTATTTCCACAGCTTTAAACACGGTATAAACGTCTAAAAATATGATTTCTTTCGTCAGAGATCGTTAAAATTTAGGCAGTGGATATTTTGCCGGAGACGGCAAACCTTCAGTAAACGTTAGTTTGCCGGATATGCACTGAACATGCGCAGTTACTGTTTTTTAGTACTTAAACATTTTCCGGTGACAAATTTTAGTCTGGCTCCATGCCAATATTATCGTTGTATTTTTGTGTTAACAAGACGGGAATCAGACCATTTTATAATTTCGGACTTTATTTCCCTTAAAAAAAAATCCTCCAGAGCCACTTATCTGAAAAAGAAAAAGTAATACTCTGCAATAAAATGTTTGAGACATATTAAAATAATAAAAGAAGAATATTTTTATTTATGTGGGGATTGGAAAAAAAAACCTTAAAATTGTGGCAGGGGTCAGGATTCGAACTCGGGACATCCCACTCACTGGAGCTACATGTATTGCTTAACCACTGCACCAACTGTGCTATACAACTTTGGTGGGAATTTAATACATATTATAATTCAGCCCTATCTTAAAGAGTACAGCGCCCTCTGATGATATGGATTGCCGCCGGCAAACCTTTAGTAAACGTTAGTTTGCCGGCGTTACCTCCGGCAAAATATACACTACCTAAAATTTATCAATTTTTGTCTTTTAAAAAAAAAAAAAAAAAAAAAAAAAAAGGAGGCGGCCTCTAAAAAGGAAGCGGGCAGGGACGCTAAACATGTTTTTTTTTTTTACTTCGCCTAATACTTACATTTTTCTGCTATGGCCCATAGACTTTGTGCACGAGGTCTGAGTTGGTGGCCCAGTATGGAATTCTTTCTGGATTTTTTTTTTAACAAAGCATTTGAGAAACCCAGAGGTATCAATAATTATTATATTAGGTGCGGGTTGCTCTTTTTTGGGGGTTGGGGTCGGGTGGGGATGCTTTAACCATGCTTTAACGAACTAATTTTTTTTACATGGCCTAACATGCCTAATTAAATAGTAATGATTAATTTGTTGTACTTTAATTGTGATGTTTACATGTTCTTACAATATTTTTTATCCTATCTTCATCCTAGCTTCATGTTTCTCAAACAAATTTCACAAACCTCAATCGTCATAAAAATGGTCTTATTTAGTGGAAAAAATGGCATGTTAATGACTACATTTGTCAGTGTTCTCCAACATGTAGAACAAACCTGGCGCCCCGCCATGCTTTCTGCGGCGCCCGCCATGTTAAAGAAGTCCCCGCCAAGCTTTAAAATCCTGCCGCCAGGTTTAATTTTTTTGACTCTACAGTGTACATCTACAACTAAAATAATTGATTTCAGTTGTTTTTCCACACATTAACAATGTATTTCGATGTCATCCCAGCCCGATCGGGCTTGTTTTAAAATCTCGCTGAATCAATCACACGCACGGCCGGCCGTGCAAACACCAGCAATTCCCCGGCCCCATGCACCGTACGTACTATACTATTACCTACGCGCGATGTACACACACTGCACTGAATCCCCAGTTCCGGAGTGTGCCGATACTTCAAGTAGCGACAACCCCGCCGCAAAAATATATATCTGTATTAGTACACACACACAGCAGCAGGAGTACGTACGGCAGATCTTACGTGCAGCCAACCGACTTTCTTTTTCTCAGTGCTTGCACGCGCGGTACACAATATAATCGGGGGTGTGAAATCTCAGCTTTAAAGCTGATTTCAGCTTTTTTTGTGTTGGATTTCAGCTTTTTTCCCTCACTTGCTGTGTACAAAAGAATAGGAGATTTCCAAAGTTCAGCTTTTTTACACTTTTTTCCAGCTGTTTTCAGCTATTTTCATCAGTGGTCACTCACACCCCTGATAATACGCATTGATGTTTTTGTACGAGGCAAACGAGCTCGAGGCCAAAACACGCGTGCACATGGTGTTCCGATCATGCCGATTGTCAAAAGTTATAAATGGCGATCGTGTATGGGCCCGGTTCCTAGTAAGAGAACAAAATCCACTTTTAATTTATTTGACTTACCAAACTAGTTGGCGACATTTAAGAACATACAGGTAGGTCATAAATAGAGGGAAATTTGGGGGGAAAATGACGATGACAACGACAAAACGCAACATGAAAATAAAGATGACGATCGCACGGCACCGACACCACCCATAAAATCGCGTAAAAAAAACCCTAATTTGTATCCATTTTGTTTTTCAAAATTACAAAAAGGTGTCATTTGATCTGAGAGAAGTCTGCTTTAGGTTGAAAAGGAAATTTTTGAATGCTAAAAAAATCGGGGGAACTGGCTTGGAGAATCGCCTCAGATTGCACCACAGAGCATCTAGAATCCAAAATTTTCCCGGGGCCCTTAAGCGGGCCCCGGACCCCACGCCGTAAGGGCTTCGCGCTCCGCGCTCGCAGGAGTCCCCGCCGACCCCAGCGCCAACCTTTAATTTTCAAAGTTGGAGAACACTGATTTGTACGTGTTCTTTTTTATTCCTGTTATTGTTGACAGTGGATATTTGGCAAGTGCTGGTTTTCTTTTGGTAAACGTTATTTTAACGCGGAGGCTTTCTCTAATTGGCTGATATACTCACAACTTATTGGCTGCGCCGGCTTTCTTTTAGTAAATGTTAGTTTGCCGGGGGTCACAATGATACTAACTTAAAAGAAAGCCAGTGTGGCCGATATGACGTAACAATGTATGAGCCAATCAGTGAAAGCCTCCGTGAAAATAACGTTTACTAAAAGAAAACTGAAGCCGGCCAAATATCAACTGGCTTTGTTGATTAGGTCCTAATAATCATGTTTTATTTTGTCTAAAGCATTTCATTCCAAACTGAACTGAAAGTGTAATTTTAAACTGTTTTCTGAATCTTAACAAACTCCTCAGTGTTGAAATATCCTGCACAGAGTTGGAATCTGGGGGTTCTTAATCTTAAAAGATTGACAGAGTGGAAAGAAACTAACTTTAACCCTAACTCCTATCCATCAAAATCCATCCCCCATTTCAGGGATTTTTGGTAGGCAAGCCATGAGTACCAAGTCCATCAAAATCCACCTATAGTATTGGTTGTCTTATGGTGGATTTCAGCAGAGATGGTCCTAAAGCATTATGTGATGAAGCAGGGTCAGTGATGGATTTTGGTGGACTTGGTCCAGTACTTAGTAAAAGACACTGGGGAGTTAGGGTTAATACTGTTGTGATAAGTAGATATTTTTACACATGAATTCTGACTCTTTCACTTTCAGATATGTTTTTCATGAGAAATTGTTTCCAAGGGCATTGATCGTTTCAGTTTCAAAGGCCAGCACAATCTTGGCCTAATATTAGAATGCATTTAGCATGTACGTCACTACTTTTTTTGTGCACATGGACTTTCTAAAAATAAAACCAGACAGGTCAAGTGTAGAAAAGCTTGTCCCAGAGTGCACGCAATTGTAGTCAATTGATTCAGAATGTCTATTCACTGGAAGTCTTTTCATGCATCTTGTCTACACAATGGGCTGGATTAATCCAAACACCAGGCTAAGTCACTTGTCACAGTCAGTTAGTCAGTCAGTCAGGTACAACAAATATTGAGTGGCTCAGAGTGGAATGGGAGGAATATTATCACAAGGTAAACTCTGGACTTGCCGAGTGAAATGGAAAAGTCCAGATTTTACAAAGCGATAATATTCCTCCCATTTCACAATTAAAAGCCTCTCAATATTTTTTTACAACTGATAGGTCCTTGTCATTTGATTGTAGAAAATGAACTTCTATTTCAATACAAAATTGGTGGGAGATGTATTTCTCCCTTCTAAACACCAGCGTGCATTTGCACACAAATATTGCGCCATGGAACAAGGATGATCCTAACTGTTGAATAGTAAATCCCATTGACCACGTGTGGGTGAATGGGAATTTTTTAGCCCTGGCGTGAATGGGAGCAATAATGAATGTCATGTGATGTGAGTTCCACCAATCATATGACAAGGATCTGTATGCACCATCACAAACACTTGCAAATCAGGGGAAAATGCCATTGAACTTGCACGTGTCTGAAGTGGGTCGAGTCGTCTAGTGTAAGTGAAGATATTTATGATAATGTAGAGTATGGATTTGCTCAAAACAATTTCCATGTCGAACAGACCCAAATTATTCCTTGTTTTTTTATTTATTCTTAGGGAAGTGTCAAAGAATAGGACAAGTGTTTTGAGTCCACAGGAAATTGAGAAGGGAAGGACACTGGATGACAAAAGTAAGTTGAAATTACACACACCCTCCCCCCTATCCAACTTGTAGTACGTTACTTTTAAGTCTGAAGGAAGTTGTTTGAATGTGAAAATGCAGAGATTTAAGATTTCGAAGGACCAGTGGGCACCATGGCCATCTTGCCTTGTTGGTTGGTGGGTAGCCTACTGAGAGGGGGCATTGTGCCATTTGTGACGTAACTGACGCCTGTGCTCTAATTGCAACATGTGAACGTCTCGAGTCAAACGCTGGTCAAAAATGTAATCACAAAACTTCTGGATCCTGGCTCCTTGCTGTACGTTATGAATGCGCACGGCTATTGGTAACCAGCGATACAACCAGACAACCATGCCCAGTAGGGCACAAATAGTCGACTAGACAGAGTTCGGGCTAACTTTAGTCGAACCATGATTAACCATTGGTCAACAATAGTTCTTGCACGAACTTGCCCCTAGTTTATTTGCCGCATCGAAGAGTGCCACTTATTATCCAATGGTGTCCAACATTGCTTGGATTAGTGCCTCCAACAGTGCCTCCAATGGTAAGATGGTGTCCAGTGCGTCCCCTCCCCCCCCCCCCCCCCACTCCCCCCTTCATCCAAATCCTGTATGCATATCACTGGACACTGATACACATCAAGGTTATAAATACAAACACTGTTTTTGTGAAATTAAATAGAGCCCTCATTTGTTCACGCAAGGAATCCACTTTCATATTGTGATTTCCTTTGGCAGTGACTGAAATGATGATGGGCAGTGAAGATGAGGAGGAAGAAGACGATGATGAAGATGAAATGTGGGCATGGGAAGGGGAAACAGCAGGTAGGTAATTGCTTAGCAGGTTTATATGTGCTAAGCATGGAAAAGGTGGTAACCAGTCAGAAGCAATATACATCCCATTACAGTTTGGCTGGTAGCCTGTTTTTGCCAAGAAAATGTCTCTGTGCTTAGCAACACTCTGTGCTTGATGCTGATGTACGTCCTTGAATGCACCCAATTGGGCTACAAAACGCATTTGAAATGAAAGTATGTTGATTAGAATGAGCATTTAAAAGTGTGATACAATCGTCCACAAAACCATCCTTTAAGAACTGGGCGTTTTTGTGTTATCCTTCTGAGAAATAAATTTAGGGGGTCAAAATTTTGACTCACAAAATCAAGCATTTGGGTGCTAGTCATGCATCCTGCGGAACGTGTTCCACCAGTACACCGCATTCTGTGGACATGCGAGAAGCAACATTTGTGATTTGGTGCTGTGTGTATTATGTGACATACACACAACATGTACATGTACCTTATATTGAAAGGACATGGCTGGAAATATCTATGCGTATGCCACAAAATATCCGCCGCGTCCGATGTAAGCAACCGTTTTATTTTGTCTTTTCTCTGGGGGTCAAAATTTTGACTCTTGAAAATCGAGCTGTTTAGTGCTAGTTGTGAATCCTGCCGCACAGTGCATGGCATTCTGTGGATGTGCAGGAAACAACATGTGTGTATTGGTGCTGTGTGTATTGTGACACACACACACAACGTATACCGTGCATTGACTGGACCTGGTGGGTAATACATGTACGTATGCGCATGCCACAAAATATCCCCCACGTACGATGTAAATAACCGGGATTTTTAGTTTTTTCTTGGGAACGGGAAGACTTTAGGTTATTTTAGATTTCTTTCATCCAGACCGTTGAAATAGGATTAGTAAACAAAACACAACATTTCTTGGATTTCAGAGTTCAGACCGTAATTTCTTTAAGCAGATTGTGATGCTAACATTTGTTATCGTTTTTACAGATTTTACAAAGCGATATAATGCTTCACGATCACACACGTCACAGGTAAGTTCAGTTTCAGTATAGTGAACTAAAATGACACAAACTGGTTTGGTACTTTACCTGGTTGGTTCTTCTCCTAAATACCCCGCAGGGGAGTTTGAACGGGAGGCCAGAAACACCGGGGAAACCCCTTCTCATAACTATAAGGGTTCTCTTACGTGCATTGCATTACACAACACACGGGACCTATGGCTTTACACCCCATCCGAAGGACGAAGCAATAATGGTTAAAGCGAACATGCAATAGGATTTGTATGACTCAATTACATTGAAAACAGTTTTTTTGCCATGTTTCTATGACTTTCCACCTCCTTTGTAGCAGTAAAAGGGAGAAATGTCAACATCTTAGTTTTTATGCTAATGAAATGTCCATATTCATGAGCCAAAGCGTGATGTCTTTCAAGGCAGAACAGTAGTGTCTCCAAAGCTTTGTGTACAAATATATATCAAACTTTTCTTCATTTTCTTGGAGTAAGTTCCACTTTTTACTTGTTTATCATGTTTACAGCTTGGTTGGACAATAGAAGTGGCAAATATTTCTTCAAACTTTTTTGTGGGTAATTTTGAAGGACTAATATTTGTACTGTTCATATGCACTTTTGACAAGGAGTACCTTGTGTGGAAAAAGCAAAATAGCGCCCTTTTACATGTACTGATGAAATGATTTGCTAATAATTGGAAAATTGCCACACTTTTGTCACTTCCATTGAAAACAAGTATTAAGATCTTGTATGTATTGTTGCAACACATAGTAATATGCATGAAAACAAGGTGAGTTGAATTTCCATTGCATGTTTCCTTTAAGTGCCTTGCTTAAGGGCACAAGTATCCAGACCTGGGCTCAAACCCACATTCTGTAGCCTCTGGGTGCACACCGGTAAATAGGCCTAAATCCATCCGCCGAGCTCATGAATAAAAGTTATACCCTCAAAATATTCTATATTAGAGAGTTCTGGGAGCCATAACATTGGCAATGAACCTCTGGCCCGGACTCGGGGCTTCCAATTCTGAGCATTTTGGAAACAATTGGGCTTGAAAGTGGCGCTATTTTGCCATGTTGTGGCGGGATCGTTTTTCAAGATGGCTGCCGTTCCGCTTTGGGAAAATAGGGGTCGTCTTCTTTGGGCGAGAATTTCTCAAAAAGTCAATGGTCAACCCACCAAAAAATGAAAAGAAATTGAAAGACGACATGTCGATCATCATTTTTCTGTGCAGCTTAAATACCTGTGAGAGTTCTGAGTATTTTTAAAAGAATTTTGAAGTACCGGTATGGGCATTTAGCACTAGTGTCTATGGGAATTTATTTGCAGGGTTGCATCCCTCTGAAACTCCAGAGCATGAGTCTGGTGCAGTGCTCTTTCTTAACCGCTAGGCCATGACACTCTATCTTGGCATTCCAATTAGTGCTACAAAACTGGGTCATGTACGTATTGGATACTTGTGCATTGTAGGTTTTAATGATATGCCTCTTTGAAAACATGGGCTTCCAGAGTTTTTTTATTTGACAATGCAAACATTAACCAGTTCTGTTATGATTGATGCTTTCATTCACAGCCCAATGCATCCCAGCCCAACTGTCAGAAGAAAGGCCAGTCACATTTTCAGGTTTGTTCATATTTTTGTCTGTAATTTTTTTCAGAACTGAATCATTTAAAGCTTCAAGCCATTCCAGGAGTTAGGTCTTGGCAGATTTGGTGCCTTTTCACTGAAATGGATTTTTTTATTTTGATTGGCCATAATGGTCATTTAGTGTTTGATGACTCTTTTCAAAATGCCTACAATCCCCATTTTCAAAAACTCAAATTTCCTTCAAAGAAATGAAGTCATTCTACAAGTTGATTTGGCATCTGGTTAATAATAACGGGTTCTTATAAAGTGCTTTTTAACTAAGATCAAGTGCTTTACATTGTTGTTACCCCTGATCATTGGCCCAATGAAACATACCAAAGGCAATCTCAGCTGCCTGGGGAGTATACAGCTCGATGCTGCCATTTCAGCGCAAAGCAGCTAAATCAGCCACAATAACCATCTCTGCCCTCACAGGTACCCATTCACTTCTGGGTGGAGAGAAGCAATGAGTGAAAAAGTGCCTTGCCGAAGGGCACACGCACCACAACCGCAGGCTGGACTCGAACCCACAACCCGTGGAATTACCCGCAAACCATGAATTCAGTGCTCCAGACCACGAGGCCACGGCACTCCACGTTGGTTAGACACAAACATGCTATAATGGTATTTTTATTGATTTTAAAAAACTTTCTGCAGCCCCAGGAGAAATCGTTGACAAGATTTTCCAACAAGATCAGTGTAGAGAAATACGAGGGACCACAGAGCCTGCCTGGCAGCGCCACCAACCAAATACTGAAAACCAATAAGAAGGCACAAGCAGACAGGTAAATGAATATTCATATTGATCAGAATACAAATTTGAATACTGGAGAAGGAAGACAGAATCTACACATGAATAAGGGAATAAATGTGTGCTTGGCTGGTTTTAAACACTCTGTTTAAGACCGGTTGGAGTCTGGTTGCTGGTAATTACCTGAGCCAAATGCAAGGGTAATTCTCAGCATCTCATAGGAGTAAAAATTCTCAGCATTTCATACATGTACATGTAGGAGTCTAGATTTCATGTGACACTGGAAAAGTGTTTAAGACCAGCCAGTCGGTCTTTATCAACCGTTCAAAACTGGCCGCGTGAAGGGCTCTCAACCAGTAGGAATGAGTAAACTGTCTTACATGTAGGTATTTATGAATGAATATTCAAATATATCAACCAGTAAGAAAGCTTCAACTAATGTACTTTAGCAGCAATTAAAGTGTCTGGTGGTTGCAGGTTCAAACCCCACTCCAGTCAATTTCGTGTTTTGGGTGTTTTTTTTTCCACTTTAAAATATTCTTTTTAAATCAAGTTTAAAATATTTCCCAACGTCTTCACTGAAATGCATTGAAATTTTATTATATTGCTTTTTTGTGTTTTTCAGGGTACGAGTGAAAGACAAAGCGGACAGGGCAACAATGGAGCAGGTATGTTAATATATAAATGAGGTTAAACTCAGCGTCATTTGTAGCTTAACCCTAAAACCATTGGCATTTTCACAAGGTCAAGGACCCTTCCCAGTTCCCCTAAAATCCACCACTATGCAGAAACCCAAATGGTACATTTTTTTATTCCCAGCATTGCCCCCTGTAAGATTCCTCAGGTATCGTGTATAGACCAAGTCACACCTACTTACTAGAAATAATTAGAAAATTCAAAACAAACATTATTAATAGCATTTTGGTCACTCTGAGCAACCCCTTATACTTAATCTCTATGTTACAAAAGTGTCTGAATGTCACAAAATGTTCCCTAACTTATGAAAAGACCAGTACATATCCCATAAAATATGGCCGATATAAAATGTTGACATTTGCTGTTTTTATGTTGGGTAAATAACTCGAGAAGGTGTTTGTATTGCCTGTTGGTTGTCTGTTGGCATGATGTCACAGGTGAAAGTAAAAGTGGTTGTTGTCCAATTTCCACCACCATGCAAAGGTTCAATCATTAACCCTAACCCCTTGGGTATATTTACTAGAAAGTATCCTGAATCCGCCAAAATCCATCAATTTTGCCATGCAAAAAAATGTTGTTGGCCAGCGAGTCCATCAGAATCCACCAGTTAGCCGGGAGTATATCTGTTGAGATCCTGAATCCATCAAAGTCCCCCAACTGCTCAATATGGAGGTATCCTGAATCCATCAAAATCCTGCAGTACCGCTAGGCTATACTGTCCCGAATCCATCAAAATCCCCCAACTTGTTCAATACCGAGGTATCCTGATTCCACCGAAATCCTCCAAAACAGGGGTGTGGATGTTGATAGATCTAGGTATGTTAGAGTTAAACCATCGCTAAGTGATTTTATAGGGTGCTCATTCCCTTATCTGAGGATTAGGTTAGAATTCCTTGGAGTACGTGGCTGCTCGTTCTTGTAAAAATGTACATGCAGTAAGCAGGGGTCATTCTCTTTATGCTATTATTGAAGTGTTTTGGAGGAGGTAATAGAGCAACGGCTTAAATACCAACACTGTTATACATATTGACCATCAGGTACTAGATCCCAGGACTAGAATGATCATCTTCAAGTTGTTAAGCCGTAACTTCATCAGTGAGATCAACGGATGCATCAGCACAGGGAAAGAAGCTAACGTGTACCATGCCACGACCAAAACAGAGCATCACAAAGCTATTAAGGTTAGTCGCTGATATTTTACATTGAGGTTTTATTCGGTGTCAAGCCGTTGTTGGAACCACCTGACTGTTTTTGGGTGGCAGAGGTTTTGATCTCAAATTTGTTGATGGACCATAATGAGCAGTTGTGCAGCAAAGTTTGTTTTAGCCCTAAGCACCTATGCCCCTTTTGCTGGGAACCATCCTCAATCCTCCAAAATTGTGCACTTATGTGCAAAATGAAGGATACCCACTGCCTGAATCCTTCGAAATCCTCCAACAGCCCTGCCTCTCAAAGCGCATTCAGCCTTGATCCTCCAAAATCCTTCTCTTCTTCAAATGCCATTCATCCTCAACCCTCCAAAATGAACCAAAACTGAATGCCCATGTGCCCTCATCCTCCACAATCCTTCAAAATTGTCTGTTGCATTTTCAGCCGCAATCCTCCAAAATCTTCCAAAACCGCCTGGAGGATTTTGGAAGATTGAGGAAGGTTATGGTTGATAAATTTACCAACCACCAGAGATCCAAACAGATTTGACGGGTTTGGAATCTGGCATGGGCAGACAATAGTCAAAGAAAAAGATAGATCACCGTCATTGCTAGTCCTGAAAGGCCAGTGTAGCATCCTCTTTGTACCCATCTCTCTGACTGACTGACTGACTGACTGACTCCCCCCCCCCTCGACTGACTGTCACTTGTCAGCAGGCATGTGTTATTGTACTACAGTATAGGATTTTCACCTAACACCAATGAATGGGCTAAATCCAGCCAATGGTTTTGACCAGATGCATGAAAAGACATCTCGTGAATAGCCAATTTAACAGAATCTTGTGTACTCTAGGATCAGCTTTACTGGGCTGGCCAAGTTTTGTTTTAATTTGTTTAATTTTTTTTTCTTAGGTTTACAAGACATCGATTTTAACATTCAAAGACAGGGACCGATATGTCACTGGGGAATTCCGGTGAGTGAGAAACAACAACTAATTTGATTTACGTCACCCCGACGCAAAATTCCATCTCTTGAATAGTTAATACGGTACCCGCTGCTTTGTACATCAGATTCAAATCAGCCAACCGATCCTGTTAGCTCGGTGGTGGAGTGGTTAGACGTCTGCACTAGAAAGCAGGAGGTAGTGGGTTCGAGTCCCACCCGACTGATTTTCTTCCAACTTTCACTCGAGAGGTAACAGTACACTGAGTATATAGTGTTTATATGTCGGTGAAGGGCAAAACCTAATAAAGACGAATGAGGCTCGCTGGCCACTGCGTGAGACACAAAGAGCTAGCAGTTTAGTCAGTTGGTGCTCTGGGAGCCAAGACATGGCCGCAGTAGGAGAGGACGTCCACCCACAACACCTATCAACATGCTGTGTAGGGACACTGGGGCAGAGGGGACCGCTGAGATCAGATCACTCATGGAGGACCGTGCAACCTGGGTATCCATAGCTAATGATCGGTCGAAGCCGCCATAAGTAAGTAAGTGAGTAATAATTGAAAGAGTCATTCCCTGTATTTTTTTACAGATTTCGTCATGGTTACTGTAAACGCAACCCTCGCAAGATGGTGAGAACGTGGGCCGAAAAAGAAATGAGGAATCTTATTAGGTTAGAAAATTAAAAACTTTACAAAGTCAAATAAATGTTGTAACAATTCCTTCAAAGTGTTTTCTTGCCTTCCATTTTAGTGACCCGGTTCAAATCCCACCTGGGCCGACTTTCCTACCTGATTCCATTGTTTTTGCCTGATATATCAAAGACTATTTTCTCTCCCAACACAGAAACTGAACATTTCTGCGTTGTCATCCCTTTCAACGTTTCCTTGGGCTTCAAAGGAATGCCCCATGCTAAAGATTAATTCAAAAGTGCAATAAATAGACCAAAACAAATTCCTGTTGGGTATGTTGATTTGATTGCAGGTTGCACTCGGCCGGCATTCAGTGCCCGGAACCTTTCTTACTGAGAGGGCACGTTCTCGTCATGGAATTCATAGGAACCGATGGCTGGTATGTATCCTGTGGTTCAAAGCCTATGGGATTATTTGGGGCATAACGTAGGAAAAGCGTGTAAAATTACCTGCTGTTCTTGCTTGTATTGAAGTTTAATTTTTATGTGACACAATTTGGGTATTTTTTTTTACATTTGTTGCATTTGGCAATTATTTGAGGTTATCTATATCGTCTATACTGGGTTTAGGTGATCCCCCACTCAGATTTTTGAAATAAACATGTTGTTTCTCAAATTTAGTGTTAATAAAAGGAAACTAAAATACCCTGTAATCTAAAAACTAGACGAGATATTTTTTTAGAAATATAAGAGATGGTGTACAATGTACCTCAATCTTCGTGATGCTATGTGACACCCTCTGTCAGTTTATGCATGCTCAGCAGGGTGTTTTCAAAAACCTTTAGCTTCAAGAGCTTTTCAGCCCCGTGACTTTGGGTACTCAAGATCAATACTGGTTCATGTTTTGCCTCAGAAGCATCTAGTGAAGAGCATCAAATTTAGAATATTTCCATTTGATGCACAAAGGCTTCTAGATGATTCTGAAGTCAACGATGAAGCGATGAAGGTTTCCGAGACCCCTCAGGCCACATATCAAAACAGGCATCATTGTATGTGGCTAGGGCTTATCTCCTTAACGTTTCAATAGCAAAATCTGAAGCCGCAGCCACAAACTGTTATTTTTCCTATAGGCCGGCCCCATTATTAAAAGACGTGACCCTGTCTGAGAGCATGGCCAGGGAGCTGTACGTTGATTGTATCCAGATGGTCCGACAGATATACCATGATGCACGCCTAGTGCATGCAGACCTCAGTGAATTCAACATGCTGTAAGTAGGGCGCCTATTAACCCTGACCTTCCTCCTAGATCCATCAAAATCAGATGGTTTAGGGAAATTCTGAAGGATGAGGAACGTAGAGCCCAGTTACTATGGGATGTGATAGTTGGTGTTAAAAAAAGCCATGGATTTTCTGTCTACTAAAGGATTTTGTAGGATTCAGGGAGGTCCCTAGAACAAAATTCCTATGGAGAGAGGGTTCATTTTGTTTGGAATCTGTTCCAATTTCAGCACAGTTTTTTCTCATGAAAAGTTTTCATGGACAACAGTACATTTCCCATTAGGGCCCATCTCAATTAATATCAGGGACGAGTTCCAGACAAGTTGCAGGTAGAATCATTTCACTTTGTCTGGAAGAAGCTCTGCATTTGTCCTGGACATATTCCAAATTTTCATTGGCAACTGTAAAACTCACGAATACTGATAACTTCATTGCAGAAAGGTTGCAGGGGAGTTGTTCGAAATCCTGCAACTTACACCAGATACAATGTCAGGAACTCGTACTGGATATGAATTTGGACAGTCCCTAACTAAGAAATGAAAACAATATAAAAGTGGTAACAATATGCATCACACATTGTAACCTTAACACTACTAGATGAATCAAAGTCCAGAGGATTTTGGAGAAATTTGTAGGATTTCTGAAAATCAAGTTAAACACTTTTTACTTCAAATAGGGACTCTTGAAATTTAAGCACAAAGAAAGTAGCATTACATTTGTTCAAAGTGTAAGATTTCGGAGAATTCAGGAATGTTCTTTGGGATTTAATAGAGTGTGTTTGGGTTACTTATATCGCGACACCATTGACATTGTAATACCCAAGAATGAAGAGAGAGAAATGGATATGATTCGCAACGTTTCATTTCTAAACACTCATTTTTGTGTGTCTTTTATTTTTATTTCTTATTTTTTACAGTTACTCTGAAGGTAAACTGTACGTGATTGATGTGTCTCAGTCGGTTGAACACGATCATCCCCACGCGCTGGAATTCCTCCGAAAAGACTGCACCAATGTCACAGGTAGGCTGGAAACAAAGGCACAGACATTTGAGCAGATGTTACACTTTACTATCCCAATTGAGTGTCAGGAAATGCAGTCAGGCTTTTATGTAGACTGAAACGTTATTGGCTTTCTTTCCTTGCCTTCAGAGTATTTCCGGAAGAACGGTGTGTGCACTATGACTGTTCGCGAGCTGTTTGACTTCGTAACAGATCCTAACATTAACAAAGACAACATCGACGAATACTTGGAGAAGGTAAAAACAAATGTTTAAGAAAAGCAAAACGATTTTCAACCAATACCACAGTTTTACATGGAACAAATTTAAAGGCAAACCACTGTACGTCTGGTACAGCTCCAGAATAAATATTTTCCATGTTGAATATTGATATTTTCAGGGGGGGGGGGGGGGGGCCTTCACTGATGTCAATTTATAAACACTGTGTGCTTTCCCAGAGCTTGTGGGTAAATCAATTTCGGCAAAGAGACCACAGCAAGCTTAATGGTCGAGTAGTTAAGATGCCTGCACTAGTAAGCAGGAGGTTTGGGGTTCGAGTCCAACCCAAGCAAACCTAAAAAGGGAATAAAATATGTACTAGGCCGGTTTGAAATAAGTACGTTTAAAATTGGTAGGGGCCTGGACATGGATGATGGCCCGAGCCAAACGCGAGTGCTCTAGCCAGTTTTAAATGAATTTGTTTAATACCTCGCACATATTTATTCCCATTCATAAATACTTTTCAGTCAAAGAGTCAGATCAAGTCAAAAGTTATAAATTTCCAATGATTTTTTTAGATCAACAATTTTACTTTGTGTTTTGTGAAAAACCCCTCTCTAGAGCTACATGTATGTTTATTGTACTTACAAAATGTGGCGCAGAACGCAGCAGTGCCAGTGTAGTGTGAATTTAAGACTATGAAATACGGACTCATTGGTAGTACTGCGCAAGTGAAGATAATTAGGAGAGTGACTGGTCATATGTGCGGGTTCAACCAATTCAAGAGTAAAAGGGACCAGATTTCACAGGAGTCCAACTTTCATGTGACACTGGAAAAAGTGTTTAAAACCAGTCAGTGTTTTATCAGCCGATTAAAACCACCCACAAGATGGGTTCTCGACCACTATGGGTAAACTGTCTTTAGGTATTTAGGAATGAATTTTAAAGCCTTCAGACAGCTGTGACATACATTGCTCACAAATTATTATGTTAGTAAAGATCAAAGCCTAATGTTATGATTAACCCTTACCCTACTTGACCCTCCAATGCATGCCAATTGTGCCTCAAGAAAATCTCCTATGTTTTTTGCATGGCCCTCCAATATCTGCCATGTCATTTCAAGGGTAACTGGACAGGCACTCCAATACATGCCACAGAGAACAATGAGAGTCCTCTGATAACAAAGTGAGTGCCCCCAGCTGGTCAGTATCAGGCACCCTCCAGGGCCTCCAACTCCTGCCAATTGGAGCCTTCACTGTTTAGACTTGTTATCTGCCAAATAACTGCAGCTGGAGGGCATTGGCATAACCAACTGACATGCAGTAAACTACCCTCAGAGAGTAAGGGTTAATATTTGCCATAAATTTTGTACAAAAGTTGTTTCATTTTGCTTTTCCCAGGCAATGGAGTTGGCTTCTGAGAGATCAGAACAGCAGCAATCAGAACAAGAAAAAGTCGATGAAGAGGTAGGTTTGTAAAATCCATCCACAGGGGTGCTGTGGTTTAATGATTACGGTGTTCAACTCATGTGCCGTGGTACGTGGGTTCGAATCCTGAAAGGGAACATGGTGCTTGTGGGCTTGGGCAAGGCACTTTACTACGATTGCCTCTCTCCACCCAGGTGTAGTAAATGGGTACCTGGTCATGCTGGTAGGAAGAAATTCCTGCAAAGCTTGAGCGTCGTAATGGCAGCTGTGCTAAAGCCAGGGTAATAATAGAGTGCCAGGAGCGTCACTTTGTGACAGACATGAGCGTTATATAGTGTAAGAAGCCATTATTTTTATTATTATTGATAAAAGCATAATTCCACCAGTAGTGAAGTATTCATGAAATAGAATTTAGCGTTAGAGTGATGTAAATCAAAGTAGGTTTTGCCTAATCGTCGGTGAAGGGCAAAACCTAATTTGATTTACATCACCCCGACGCTAAATTCCATCTTATGAATAGTTCATGCGGTACCCGCTGCTATGTACATTAGATTCGAACCAGCCAACCGATCCCGTTAGCTCGGTGGTTGAGTGGTAAGACATCTGCACTAGAAAGCAGGAGGTCGTGGGTTCGAGTCCCACCCGAGTGATTTTTTCCAACTTTCACTCGGGAGGTAACACACTGAGTGTACAGTGTTTATACGTCAGTGAAGGGCAAAACCTAATTTGAAGTGGTAAAGTACGTACATTTTCACAGTTGCTGTCCACTATCGAATAAGTCGGTATTCGATAACTGGAAACTGCAATGGACCGAATATCCAGATATTCGAAACTGCCAGCTGCAACTACGTGCTGCACCAGTAAAAAGTTACAAGAAGAGCGTGCCAGTTAAAATTGGCATGTTGGCGATTGATATGGGGCGCTGGAGTGTTTTGTTGTGAGAATTTTTAAGGCCAAAAAAATTAATAGTTGTACTTCAGGTTACCCTACCTACCCTATTTTGACAGCCCCGACCCTAATTGTTTTGGGGGAAAAGGAGAAAAAATACCCCAAAACCATCAATTCCCACCTTGACTACACGCAGACACCTACATATGATCAACACGCAAACAATTGCGCCCCCCCCCCCCCCCCGAAAAAAAATCCTACCTACCTACCCTATTTTCAAATGCCATGTAATCAGAAGTAGAACTTTTTTTTGGCCTAACTGCAAAGGGCTTTAATCTGCTAAAAGGATGTGAACAACGAACCACCTTCGATACAAAGACTTGATTTCAAGTCTAACACGCGTGTGACACGCCTGGCTTGGATTTCAGTGTACATTGAAGAGGTGCATGTGTTGCACAGGTGCGCTGTCCATAGCACACAAAAGAGCAAGGGTTGAAACGTTCATGGGATTGTCTCATTAAATATTTAAAGGTCTTCAAGACGGTTTTCATCCCGCGTAACCTTGACGACGTTGGGGATTACGAGGAGGACATCATGAAAGTTCAGAAAGGACAGACAGATGAGGTGAGGGTTGATACAACGTGGGACATTTCTAGACCAATTAATCCTTACTCACTGGGCATATTTTGCCAGGAATTTCCTTGATTCTCCGATATCCATTTTTGTGCAGGAACCCAGCACACTCTTTGTACTTGAACGTTCAGCGGGCATCAAGCCCCATGTAATGGCAATACAACTTTACCTTCCTCAAACCTACAAAATCCTCCCAAACCCTGTCGTTGATTTTTAAGGAACTTGAAGGTGGCAGGTTTCTATTTTAATAATTTGAAAAACAATCCTTGGCATTTTTAAAAAGTTTTCTGTTCTTATTTTTTATCCTAATAACAACTTGTTTTGCCCCAGCAAATTTGTAATGATCACTGTGATGTTAGAAGTAGTCAATGGACATTTCTCCCCCGCTGAACTCTGTTATAAGTGTAAATGAATTATCTTTTAAGAGCCATTTGTCAAATTTTCATCCATTGAAATTGTACCCTCTGTTCAGAAATCTGTATTATCTTATCAGCTAATTTTATCCTTTTTTTTCTCCAGATCTTTTACCAAAAACTGACAGGTTTGGAAGAGTCCAGTGAAAAAGCTCAGGTAAGAACACTTGAAAACTCAGCTGAGATCACCGGAATTCTGTATTCTATAGAACTGCAAAACTTTGGGGAAGCTAATACATTGTGTGAAGTGGATTAATAATGCTAAAAAGAAAGTGCGTTTTGAGAAGAACCAACTGCATAAACTCAATGTTTTGGTCAATTTAAAGTGCACCTTTGTTCATATTGCACAGATGGTGTATGCTACTGATGTTCAACATCCACCAAATGAAGTGCTTACCCCATTGGCTTTTCAACCATTTATATAACTTGTTTTGTAATTTGTAAAGCCTGGATCACATTGTTTTTAAGAGTAGGTCATCACAGGGTTGTTCCTTAATCCTAATATAACAGTTGTCCAAAGCTGCCAGCTGCAACAAGATCCAACAGCGGCATTGTCCACTGACTAGCTCTCATTGTCTCAGAGTTGGCAGTTCATGCTCTGGTGTGATGGCCCAATGCCACAAGGTCCCACAGACATTTGCATCTGTTTCACATTGTGGCATCTATTATTTTAATACTGTGTACAATAATTGTGCAGACTCCAGAGGAACATGGGCTGGACTCGGAGGGTGACAGCGACACGAGCGAAGATGAAGAACGAAGCAACGAAAGCGGCTCCAGGTTACACCACAGACCACGAGATGAGTCCCCCAATGCTAAAAGAGTATGTGTCAATGTTGTTGTTTCTAGGTACACGTGATTGACAACAAGTACATCACGTGTCTGGTCAGAAGTAAATCACACGTCAATTCACAAGTAGTCATGGGTTGAATTATAACCAAGTTTATGCGTTGTCACAGTGCAGTGAAATAGCTTATGAGTTGAGTTGACTCAGCACTGGATGTCTTGTGATTGACTTGTGACTGACTTATGATCCTTCACAAATACTAGTAGTTTGAATCATAGACACAGGCATACAAGTTTTCCTCGGATCTGCTGATTTCCTCGTTTTTAACTTCTCCTGAATGCAATTACAAATTGAAATTTACTGTACAAAGTCTTGTGGGGTTTGGAATTTCTTCGTTTTTTCTAAATTGCTAGTTGCATGCCTGTAGACAAGAATGGGAGAATAAACCGTGCCAGCCGCAATTCAATCACAGGTCAATCATAAGGCAAACCGCAATTCATAAAGACAGTCACAAGGTATTTTCACTTCCATCAAGGGCAGATTGCAATACCACGGTCTTAGCCGGCTGGCTTAACCAGTCCAACTATAGCTGGCTGTTGCTCTTAGATGGTCTTGGTTGAGACACCAAACTGAGCCCATTGCAATACACCGGTCTTTAAAGCCCGCTTAGAGTAATGATTCACAAACAAACATTCCATGGTTACGAACTGTGGTGCTCACTTGTTATACCTGAGAGACTGCACGATTCTTGTTCGTGTGATTCAAATCATACGAAATCAAATGTGTCAATTACGATTTACATGATTGCATGTCGAGAAAATTGTATTTGCAGTGCAACTCAGTGTAGTCTAGAAGATTCAGTCTGTCCTGGAAAATCCTTTCTCCAAGCAGTATTCTTCTACATAAATTATCAAATCTTATCGACTGAAAAAAAATTCTGGCAAAAAAATATTTCAACACACCTGTGAATAAAAGAAAATCCCAACTACATGTACATGTATAATATAGAGACTAGTTTTGGCCAGCCCAATCCAGGCTAAGAGCATTTTCGAAACGACTGGCTTTGGCTTCGTCTTCAGCTAAAGGACATTTTAGGCCCCCAACTTCTGGAACTCCAGCTACATTTGGTGCCTTTTACGCTTCAGGAACATTCAGTCAGTTGATATGAAGCCAAAAGTTGGAATATTTCCGTTTGGTTTGTCTCATAGTGATTCAGAATTCGGAGACAAAGCCGAAGCCGAAGCAAAGGTTTCGAAAACCCTTTAAGACTGTCAGGACACTTAGATCATGTCATTGCTATGGTCTAACGTATAGACCGACTGACAGTTGGAGCTTTAAGGCCATCTGACACGCATAGACAGCTTTAAGACCCGTTATAGCAATCTGCCCCAGAAGTCAATCACAAGTCAGTCACAAGTCAGTTGCAAGTGAATGGACAAGTCCATCACAAGTTACATTATACGACAAATCACAAGTCAGTTGCCAACAAATCTGAGGTGAAATTGATTCAATAACAAGTCATTTGCAAGTCAATCACAAATCATATCACATGGCAAATTACACCACAAGCCATCACAAGTTAAGCCACAAGTAAGGCTACAAGTAACAGGCTATGAAACAATGACAAAGGAATAGCTTTGTCCGAGCTGATTTGAAGAGCTTGTCACTTGACTTGATTACTGGAGGATGACTTGTGATTAACTTGTGATTGACATGTGATTGACTTGTGATTGACTTGTGATTGCTTGTGATTGACTTGTGATAGACTTGTCATTGACCTGTCATTGACTTGTGAATGACATGTGATTGACTTGTGATTGACTGTGATTGACTTGTGATTGACTTGTGATTGATTTGTGATGGACTTGTGATAGACTTGTCATTGACCTGTCATTGACTTGTGATTGACATGTGATTGACTTGTGATTGACATGTGATTGACTTGTGATTGACATGTGATTGACTTGTGATTGACTTGTGATTGCTTGTGATTGACTTGTGATAGACTTGTCATTGACCTGTCATTGACTTGTGATTGACATGTGATTGACTTGTGATTGACTTGTGATTGACTTATGATTGACCTTTGATTGACTTGTGATGAGTTTTACCGCAACTCTTCAATGTTCCACTTTTTGTGGTGGAAACATTTATAGTTGTTTTAAGCCTCGTAGGGACATTCTTAATTACCCGGAAATGTACCTACCAATTTAACGAGAAAATCCTTGCTCAAAGAGAAGATAGGACTGGTACCAAATACCCCGAGACATTGTTCCACCTGACTTGGTATCATTCTGCAGAAAACAATAATTGAAGGTGGTTATAGAAAATGAGGGCACTACTTTTTTTCTTTTTTAAGTGCGTGGGCAATGGAATCCAGTTAGGAGACCCCAAAAATTGTGCGTACATTTTCCCCGTTTTCTCAAAATTTCGACTTTGAGAAAACAGTATCCACTATAGCTGAAACTTCAACAAGTTATTTGTTTTGCACCCTTCTGAAGATATGAGCATTGTTGCTTCAAACGAAAAAAAAAATGCATGAAAGTAAATGCTCCCATGTACCTTAAGTACATAACTTTATCTTTTCTGTTTCCCCACAGGAAAGGAAAAAAGCAGTGAAGGAAGAGAAAAGGGAACACAGGAAGAATAAGATTCCAAAACACGTCAAGAAACGGAAAGAGAAACTGGCTGTAATGCGAAGAGGCCCTCACAAGTAACACATTACATAAACAGTGTATATATATTTTATTTAATCTCTAGTGTTTACATTTACAATTTGCTCCTACAAGACCTATACAGAGTGAGTAAAAAAAAAGGAAACCCAAATGACGCCCCCTGTTTTTTACCCTGACCCCGCGAATCCTTTAAAATCCTCTTTGCCAAAAGTGGAGGAATTTGGACGATTGAGGTCACATGGCAAAAGTACGTTACTGATTTCGTAGGATGCACTTTGTCAAGGTCTTGGGGCAGACCTTGTCTTGTTTTTGCTTAGCCATGCATAAATATATTTGCAGGATTGAGGCTATATGCTATTTTCCATGAGGTTAATTGGAGGATTTCGCAGGATTGAGGCTGCATCCTAGCAAAAAGGTCTAGGGAGTAGGGGTTGAAGAAGTTCTGCATGTAGAAAGCCCAATCAATAACTAAGCTTTCTTTTATTACAAGAATCATTGAAATCACTCATGTACTTTTTGAGTTATGGAATTTTGAACACAAACATAGTTTTAAAATTTTGTCCATGGATCACATTTAAGGTACGTGATATTTCAGTAAAATGAAACCATGTCGTATCCTGAAAATGATATCAGAATAATCCCATAAGTCTCCGGGGTAGCCAAGTAGAAGGCAGGGCAAGACTATAAACTCTTGTCACTATAAAGCATGTTGTTTTAACATTGGAAGCAGAAGATGTTTAAATAAAGGTTATGATAAAAGCCAGTTATCATGGATATGAAAGTGTTCTGATGTGTTTTTTTTATATGAATAGTTTTCGTTTTGCTGAAATATCACTTACCTTTATTGTGATCTGTGGACAAAATTATAAATTGTGTTTGTGTTTAATAGTCCATAACTTGAAAAGTACAAGCGATATGAACGATTCTTTAAAAATAAAGCTTAGTAATTGGGCTTTTACATCCTAGATCTGTTACGCCTTACATGCAGAACTTCTGGAAAGAATAGGGGGCGCCATTTGGGTTTCTTTTTTTTTTTACTCCCCCCCCCCCCCTGTAGATGGATTGCTTTCAGCACCCATCTTTTTGCTGTGTTTTGTCCGGTGAATTCATTGACAATGAATGCACAAGGGTCTACTCTAGTCCGAAAATTTGGAAGTCTCCATGTGTATGAGAGTCCCAAAACTTAAGGTATTGAAAACATGCAATACAAGAAAATAAAGTGACATCTGAAACAACCAGTCCAACAACTCTTCAGTACTGCATCAATCAACTGTCAGCTGACTGCGCCAAAAGAAATATCTAGGATGTTAGGTAGTAGGTCACTATTTCTACACATTTCTCCTTGGTCAGGCACCAGACTAATGACAACGAATGAAGAAGTCAGTCTTTTCAAACAGTTGGACCATGGATGGACATGTAGAAGTCTAGTCTTTAGCCTCATTTTGAAACCACTTGACTTCCCTCTCATGTGCAAGGGTGAAGCCACTGCCAAATATTGAAGAAAGTCTCCTTTAAAAATTGAATCGAGTCTTCAAACTTGGTTGGTGGAATACTGAGGACCTTTTCTTTGCCCAATGACGGGTTTGGAGAAATTTGCTGGCTAAAGAGTGAGTAAAGTTGGCCTGATCTTGTTTTGCATCGTTTTGAGCACTTTTGGGCCCAGTCTGAGTCTACTCATGCATAGCCCTGTTGAACTAAAGCACACGCCTCAAAGATCACTGCAGTGCAAACCATCTTTTATATCATGAAGTGGCCAAATCAACAATTTCTCAAATTTGTTCATGACAATATAATATTCTAGCTCTTTGCAAATTGTTCTCAGCAAAATTTTTATAACCTGTTTAGATTGTATAAACGCTTTGTATAATGCACAATATTCTTTATAAATGCGACTGTTTAATCACACAAGTGATTAAAGGTAATTTACAACATTTGCAAACATCCAAAAATAAAACCACCAAATTATTATGAAAATACCTATTACTTGACTGTAAGTGAGTAAATAGTCGTAAGCATCCTGTGAAATGATGACGCCTGTGTGCTGTCATTTTCAAAAACTGTAAAACTTTTGTATCAATTTCCAACGGTGGTCTGCTGACCATTGTCAACATTTCCACTATTTTTTGCCTTTTACTAAAAAAAAATAACAACTGGACGTTTGTAACAACATTGTTCGAATTTGTAACATATGAGGAAGGCCACAGTGCCTTAAACCTTAAGAGCGTTTTGTCGTCGTCATTTCTGTTTTCTGTTACAAGTTTCTTATTAACAACAACCAAATAACCACCTCTATCTCCCCCCCCCCCCCTCCTAGCGCAGCCACTGCCTTCAGCTTTAATTCAAAAACACTCTGTCTGTGCTGTATAGTAATTCTATTCTTGCAGAGAGACTGGTTCCTGCCCCTAATCAGAAATGATAATACAATGTACACATGTAGGACCAAAAAAACAGTCTTCTCGCAGGGCGGAACTATTTGTTTGCACGCGCAAAAATAGTCAAAACTGATGCATGTCAGATCAGCCTAGTGCATAACGAGAAAAAAAAACGATCTGGTATGTGGTCTCCACTAATCAGGCCACAGTATTGGTCATCCAGTTTTTGTGGGGAGGGGAGTTGTCAAAACGGTATTTTTGACATAAATTCTATAATTTTTTTCACGTCAATATGTTTCAATTTGGTACAAACCTTTTGGGGTTATATAACAACTTTTGAGGCAAATTCATCTATTTTATTGATTTTGTCACCAGACTCTATTTTTCAAGAAGCACCCCAAAACTGTGCAGAAAATGTGAAAATTAAGAGGATTTTCGCCGGACGGTCATATTGGATGCCCAGCATGCATTGCAGTAGGTCACTCGGCCATGACTTTTAGTTTCAAGGCGATACTTGATAGATTTGGGCAAAGAAAACATAATGTTAACTCGCAATAAAATGCATTTTTCTATGTTTTTATTTAAAACTGACCAAATTTGATAAAAAATTTTGTTTGGTACATTTGTACCATAATGACCCCCGATTGACTCCCGATAAAAGTTAAGTCCCGAAATTTCATGACGACCAGTTGAATCGTTCCGGAGCTGTTCCAGGGAGTTAATATTAAAGGTAAGCACATTGTCTCGATACGGTTAATCGATTCTATTAAATTTTTTGGCGCGTTTTTTTGCCCCTTGCGACATGCATTTTGTAACTGCAATTTTCCCGTTGAATCGAAGATAATGACACTAGATTCCAGACAGGATAATTATGAAGGTAACATATTGTGAAGATCCTAACTTGCTCAGGTGTATGAAATCGTATTAAAATGTGAGGATTCAGGACTATTTGGGTTAATCAATATATGTTGATATATTTTGAGTAATGTTTATATTGTCTGCATAAACGGTTATAAGAGTAACCTTCAGTTTGAAGAATGTCACTGTAAACCTTCGCCTGTTTATTAAATTTGTTAAATATAAAAGAACAAAACTAACGGAAAGATATTCACAACCGAACATGGCTTGTGTTCCAATGAGTAAAAGTCAACGTATAGCAAGGGCACTGTCATCTATTGCCTGGTGGATAATCGGTTGGCTGGCAATTGATGTCGTGGCGCTTTTCACTAATAGTTACCATGGAAATGTGCGGCCATGCGATGCGCATGTGCCAAACTGTTGGTAGCTTTTCCACAAAGCGTGTCACCCTTAACTATGGATATATTTGAATTGAATGGGCCTAGATGGAATAAAAATATAATGAATAGGCCTACACTACTAGTAGGGTTCATGACACTGATGTATTGATTAAGGTTAAGTTAGAGTTACTTTGGAGTAGTGATGGATGGACTGAAGCGTATTCGCGAGTGTATACAGTAATTAACTGAGGTAATGAGTGCACGGATGGACATGGGGACGTGCGATATTTTTTAAATTAGTAGGTGCGGCGGGAACTTGACTGCGCCCTCGGCAACCATACGGAATCAGCCCTGGCAACCAAGCACTTCCTTTTGTTAGATGCCATGGTAAACTGCTATTTTTTACGGACCCATTACAGTTTGGACGTGATCCGGATGCAGGATTTTTTTAAAGGATTCCTCACCATTTTGTATGTACAAATATGCCATACACCATGAAATTGGGGCAGAGTGTTTCTGCCCTTGGATTTCAGAACATGATTGAGCATTTTAAAAGTTCCTCGTGTTGGATGTGCTAACAATATGGCGGGGAATTGTTTAACCTTGGCGGAGGTTGCGCTCTCTGAATGCTTTCTATATAGTTACCAGTAATAAAATGAACTATTGTATAACGGTGTAATTTAAATTCAGTATACTCATCTGAGTGTAAAAGTCAATGTGTTTGTGTATTGGTGAGAAGGTTACGTAAAACCAAGATGGCGTCACAAGTAAGCTCCGATAGGCTGGTGCGCTGGCCGGGATTTGCATAAATTAGCATGCACATAATACCAGAGGTTCGTGAGGAGCCCAGTGGCGATAATTTTTTTCGTAGGCAGGTGAAGCAATATCATGAATAATTCGGTAGTTTCGACTGGAAAATTATCTTTCTTCGTGAGAAAAGAGCAATGACATCAACGTCATTATTATTATTTAGTCAACTATTAATTTAAAGCATGTTAAAGACTGGTGTCGTCCACAGCTTGTAGCCTTGGATAGAAAAAGTCCCTGGTCCAAATCCATCGATGCTCATTTTTATCGACTATTTTTCTTCTCCAAATTATCGTTGGGATAATTTTAATTTAAGGGGAAAAAAGAGAACGAGAACTATAAGTGTCTTGCATGCGATGCGATGCGAGGGTGCAGCCTAACCTACACCAACTCGGGACTTGGTCGCCGCCCTCCCGCCACTCATCCCTATCCGATGTCGATGTATACGTGGCTCGTCTCCGCCCCCTCCTGGCAGTTCCATGAGTCGGCTCCCACAGGATATGTTGTGGGCTGCTAGCTCCGGGTTGCGGATGCAATGGCCTGTCAGAGCCATCTTCCTCTCTCTGATCTTATCTGAGATGTAAAGGTCCATAAAGGTCGATGTTCCTGATGTGGTCTCTCCAGGAGACATTCAGAGCCATGCACAGCATCCTGGTGTAGACGCTATCAAGCGATTTTTCCTGCTTTACAGTGAGGGTCCACGATTCAGCACTATAAAGCAGTACTGACTCGACCGTCGCTGCAAAGAGTCGCCGAACTGGGCTTTCCACACCTTCATTGAGTGGGCCGCACGTCCTCCATGCCTGAGCCCTCCTGACCTTCAGCTCTCTCTCTGCTGAGGCGATGTAGGAACCGAGGTACCTAAAGTCATCCACTACCTCGACCACTGATCCATCGCCACTCGCAGGTGGCGACTGTTGTGTCCT